ATGAGTTGATAAGGTACATTGACCACTGTAGTAAGTTTCTAAAGCTGATGTTTTGAGCATTAGCCCTCTGTCAGAGGAGATAGGCAGTCAATTGACAGGTTAAGCATGATGTTTATGACAATAGCAAACAACAAAATGGCATCTTCTTGTTGTCTGCTTCCAGAATCTTGAGAATTCACAAGAAACTGGACACAAGCAAGAGAGCCATCTCAACATGAGGGAGGAAGGGAGGGGGTTTCCGAGCCCAAAAATTATTTAATCCTCTTTTGTCACACTTCCACACCTTTATCCCTTTACAACCTAACATCAGTATTCATAATCTTTATACTTGTCTCTTAATACATTTCCTTTGGTACTGACAAGGAAAATTTGTTTAACAAGTAAAGCTTCATAGGGAGGTGACCTCCTTTATCCTTATGATCTTAATGAACGATTCAAGAGTATTATCGTTGAGAGAAATTAGCTGCTGGTCACTTAGTGTTTTAAGTGTCACAAAAATTTTCTCATGCTTAAGTTGAGGGAGAAGGTAAAAGCTCACATTGTGAACAGTCTAACAGCATTTTCACCTCTCATGTTGTCTAATATATCCCACCTTATGAACCAAACCAAATACTTTACATGTCAGTGAGAACCCATCTTATTCTGTACCTGACGATTCTTCTTGATCAGCTGGTGGACCAGGTGTTGTTACAGTTTCTTGAGATGTATCTGCTGTCTCTGAGGTTTGTTCTGTATTTGGATTGTTGGCTTGGGTGTGGTTTTGTCTAAAAAAGAAAAAAAAAAAAAAATCAGGTCAACTTCAGCTAGGGTTCCAATCCAACAAACTTCCAATTAGCACATTAACAATTCAGAATATATTCCTTAAGACATTAATCAATGCCAGGTGTAACTTGTAATATTACATGAAAAGAAAAGACCCAACTACAAACTTCACCACTCAAAGGTTTGTTCAATCAACTAGATTTTTAGTCCCACAGTAAATCACACTCTAGATAAACATAACCTGCACACAGAATAGCAGTATGCACACACAAAAGATGTAAACAAGTCATATTAGTACATATTATAATATTAATTTTGTTCCTCAGTGAAGCTGAAAAGTCTCGATCACTTAAAGAACATTGATCGCATGCTTAAACATAGCAAGCTGATCCTTTGGGTTTTTCCTGTCCAATTGCAAAATGATAAAAGAAGTATCTTAAGTGGAATCTAGAATTCTGCCATACTGGGCTCCTTCTTTAAAACACTTATTGTCATTCCCTAAACACTTCTTTTTGAATAGAATCAACTGCATAGAGAAAAAATACAAGAGAGAGGTTGAAGTGAGTTTCCAATCACAGTGGTGACTCCAAACCAAAAAGGTCACCCATTGTTTTAAAGTTAACTTACCTTTGAAAATACAATTCTCGTTTTCTCCGAACTGCGTCCATGTCAACTGGTTTATCTGATGACAAAATAAGATACATTGCTGTATAATACACAGCTCATCTCTAGAACTAAATATAAATATTGTTCAGTTACAGTGAAACATAAATCTGCCAAAGTCATGAAATAATGTAGTCGCATCCAAACATAAGTTTGAGATAACAAGAATGCTCAGGTAAGTGACAGATTTAATTTTTAAAGCTTAAACATACCATCACCTCCTACAACACCACTGGCCTGTTGAAGCGCAGCTGTTAGATCTGTTTTGTCCACCAATTTGTGTGCAGACGTTGTAAAAGGTTTCTTCTGTGACTCAGCTGGACAAAGCTTCAAAAGTTGATCTGCTTCACTCTCTGGTAAATTTCCTCTCACAACAAATATTGAATAACCTAAGAGGCAAGAAATCATGGGTGGTAATGTCCGTGTGTTTGAACTGATAATGTCTTGAATTGGAGATTTTAAATTTCAAATCATTCTTTGCGGCTCTTTTTAAAGTCTACAGATACCACACAGTGGGTCAAGGACTCTGAGCTACTTAAATATTACAAAATTCTCAGTCTATCAACATAAGAAGCAGAGGGCAAGGTCTTGAATAAGACACTAACGACTCTTTCACTCCAAGAGGTGATCACTGTCACACCTCTCTTTACAATAATAGCATAATGTAAAGTATTTGATGAGAATTTAGGAGCAAATTATTGAAGCTAAAATTATAGAAATTATATTGTGCCAAATCACTTAAACCCACATTATTTGCCCCTCTATTTACTTTTACTTCAAAGATCCAATTAGTATTTCTCCTTTCTAAGTGCCTTTGGATTCCTTGTAAACTAGACAAGATAATTTGGCATTGTATTCTATGATGGCTAAGCTGACCAATGTGCCCAGATATCATCCCTTTGTGTGCCTCTTTGAGTAGGGGAGGCACAACTAATACCCTCTAACTGATAAGCTTGTCTGTTCTCATAATCTGTTTGAAAGCTAATATACTGGAATCAAAATAGACAGTTACATGTAAATCAACTCTGACAGTTGAGTGCATAATTTGCAAGCTATGAAAAAGAAATTGTCATTTGACAGGGAAGAGCAAAATTAGTATATATTTTTGTTTGCTTGGCCACAGCATTTAAAACACCTCAAAATTAATGTAGATACAGTCACTGTCAAAATAAGATTTAAAATTCTGCTCGCAAGTACCTTCTGTCTGTAATTGGGTAAGAAATAGTGACAAATATGTCTCAGTTATCAGCGCTGGTTTGGACAACAGAGAGTTAAGATTAAACCACTGCAACAAAAAACACGGACACTTTAATCTGATGTGGTTCTCTCAATTTTCACATTGATTACTCCAGATTCATAACTCTAGACTAGCTTTTTTACATTTGTTATCTTCATATTTTTCTTCATTTAGTTTTTCCCTCTGTGGCAGCCAATGGAGAGGCAGATGAGCCTACAACATTTTACTGCTATACTAACTTTGTTAGATATTATAATATAATAATAATATTTGGTTTTGTCAAATGAGTTGACCATGTAAATTGGCCACCGTAAAGAGTTTCTAAAAATGATGTTTTGAGAGTTAGACCTTTGTCAGGGCTTAACCCTTTCACTCCCATGAGTGATCAAGACAGAATTTCTCCTTATGGTATCAAGACAATATCAAGCAGACAAGCAATGAGAATAAAGACAAATATCAATTAGGGGTTTATTACCTTATCCAATATCAAATTCTCCAAACTAATATCACAAGAGCTATATGGCAGACAGTAAGGAGAATTAAGGGGGTAAGTTTCTAAAGAAACTGTGGTGCTGTGTCGGTGGGAGAGTATAGCAGGTAATTTAGTATTAACAACTGAGTTGAAAACAAATTGGTCACTGTAAAGAGTAAAAAAGCTGACATTTCAAGTGTTAGCCCTTCATCAGAGCAAGTAGAGGATTACTAACAAGATCTAGTGATTGGAGTAAGATCTTTGGAGTTAAAGGGTTAACACTCAAAACATCAGGGCCCAGTTTTATAAAGGGCGGATAACACTATCCAACGGATAAGTGATTGCAAAATGCATGGCATTATCCACCAGAGAGAGATTTATCCAGTGGATAGCATTATCCAACCTTTGAACAACTGAGGTCAGCTTTACAAACTCTTTTCAACCCAATTGATAAATTCAAGTTGTCTTGTTATACCCCCAACCAACACAGCACCTTGGTTTATTTTAGAAATTTACTCATTTTTGATCATTTGTCTCATGGTATCAGTGGAATGAGTTCAATCAAGCTCTTAACGAATCCCTGTTTGACAGACAATGCCATTTAAATCAGGCTTTTCTATTTTTTTTTAACAATTACAGTAAAATTAATATTTCCAGTACCTGATGGCCAATTTTTCGTATAGTCAGCCAATGTTGTTGTAAGTTACATATAAAAGCTTTCTGGTACCTAGTTTAGAAGAAAAAAGAAATTAAGAATATGTTACTCTTTCTAATCATGTGTCACTTAATAATGGAATATTCATGTGGTGGCTTTGTAGAAACTCAGAAATAATTATGTATATATTATAAAATTATTAAATCAATAGTATACCAAGGCTTACTGAGGATTTTCTCGTGCCTCTCTGGCCTCTGGACTCAAAAATGGTATCAGCTCTAACCCCCACACTCTGAGTGCATTGCATATAACTTGAATGGAGAAGAATCCACTGTCATCCATATTTGAAGAAGGTTGCTGTAAAAACAACAAAAAAAAGGATTACAATCACAGAATTTCAACTTATGTTAGACAGTTTCAGAAAATATCCCCTGTCACCCATGGGACCTTTAACTTCCATGAGAGACCAGGACAGAATTTATCCTTACAATATCAAGCTGACAAGTGACAAGAATAGTTATCAATTTAAGGATTAGTAATTGATCCAAGTCCAAATTCCCCAAGCAAACACCATAAGAATTGTGTAGCACACAGTAAGGAGAATTACTAATGAGATCTTGGGAATCAAAGGGTTCAATGACCACTGGAAATTTCCTAGGCAACATAAGATACCAAATGACATTTCCAAAAGGGTAGGGAGAGAGGGGGAGCTCAAAATAAATCCCTCCCATTGGAGGGATATGGATACTGCTGCCCTCTACTGGTTTTGATATACACTGGAAACAGTCAATACCCCCATATGTTTTGTGGCTTAATAGATATATCCCACAAACCACCTCTGTTTTGATGAATAATTGTTGAATATAATGTTCTGTTGTTGCTTATAAAATAGTGCTTGGTTGATTGTCTGAAATTTTTAAATGCATCTTTTCATGATTGGGTATTATAATACAGATATTCCTTTACCCCCTGTGCTTTGTTTAGTTTGTCTTTCTGGATTTGTTATATCAGCTTAAGGTTGGTACCTACTAATAGGGATTTAATTTGCCTGGCCAATGACTATCAAGGGCTATCAAGATAAAAAAAAAGAAAATTGGGGGTAGCTAGGTTTTAAAACTGAAAAAGGTACTGACATTGCATTTTCTAACAAAGTGAAGGAAATATAATTCCTGGCCAAGACAAACAAAATCAATAGTAATAGTAAAAATCTTGGAACTAACCGTGAAATGTAAATTTTGATTATCAAAATGATTACAGTTTAAAATCCATTTTTAACCCTTACCACTCTCACTTTACAACCAACAATACTGGATAAATACTGAATGAAAAATTTATCAAGTGGTTTCTAAAATATAGGTCACTCTGAATTATTTCACTTGATTGAATTTGTCAGCATACCTCACTCTACATGTAGCTTTCCTAACTCCTTCCCTGAAAGTAAGATATTTCTCTTTCACTTTCTGAAGTTTTTTATGAACAGAAGGCAGCATGGTTGAATTGATTTTGCCAATTAATATGAGGGAAAAAAGCCTTTTATAAGTACCAAATGTTGGCTTTTTTTGCTCCCATTTACCACCAAGGCATGATATATAGCTTGTGTATACAATAGCAAAAGCACGCACTGTTCTTAAAGGCACTATATATGAAGCTCTTATGGTCATGAATTTTCTGACGAAAGCAGTACCAAATCCCCACTCTTCTCACCGTGATAATGTCTTCTGATCAACTCATCCCTCATTTATGGTAATAAGTTCCCTTCAAAAAATGAAAACAGTTACCTTAATAAATTCTTGATAATCCTGTGATGTAACATCTCCTTCTGCCATTCTTGCTCTCTCAAGCTCATCCAATTGTGTCGCTATATCCGCCAGAACCACTGGGTTTAAGTAAGGGCCTATGAAAAAGGTTAGGTTGGTTTAATTTCTCAAGCCTACTGGCCCCTCATTGCATAAGCTTATCCCACTTTCCATGCCTAAAAACAACATGAATCACTGCCAACTCTCCAATTTAGAATACTTGTTCATTGTAGAGAACTCCCCACTTACCCTTTGACTTCTACAAGTGACTAATACAGAATTTCTCCTTACAGTATTAATACAATATTAAGCTGAAGAGTGATGAGAGTAAAGAAAAACATCAATCAGGGAATTCCTATTGATCCAATAATAAATTATTTGAAGTAACATAATAAGAAAGTGAAGTTTTCTTCATTCAGTTCTTGGATAGAGAAAACAATGACAAAAACAATACATTGCCCTTGGGAAAACAGATTTGTTTTACAATAGTATGGGGCTGTGCGGAAATTTTATCTCATAAGAATTTTATGGTAGACAGCAAAGGAGGGTCTAGGCCACTGGAGGCTAAGTGTAAGGCGAAGTAGTTTGATCACGATCAAAAAGCAGTGAACTCCCAAACAGCTGTCTGGAAAGATCACATCCCTAAAAAACTACACCTCTAGAAGTTTTCAGAGTCCTGGAAGAGAGATGTGCGACCAAAAGAGAGTCCTAAACTAACTTAACTTAACTATTGTTTTCATATGGATCAATAACAATAAAGTCGAGCTGTCAAAAAAAAAATGAAATTATTCCAAGGTATTCCAACAAACAGTGCAATGTCTTTACCACAAATTGCAGCTTATTAGAAACTAGTTATGTTTGGTTTTGAATTAAAAGTTATCCTTGACATAAACGTCAAAGGATCTTCCTTACAACTCAATCACAAATTATAAGTTTAACATTTGACGCACTGTTCTCTGTCTGCATTAGCTGGTACAGTACCTTGTAATAAGGCATTGAGGCAGTGTTGGGCGCAAAGAGAACCTTCTTGCTGCAAAGCAAAACAATAGTAACATTAATAAAATAATTTCTTATGGATTTAAGACCCTGAAGGCTGGCAAAAAGGCAAGATTCGCAGGAAAACATTTACCTTCTCGTGAAAGATTGCATCCATACTGAAACCGAATCTGCGTGGACTGGGGCGGGGGAAATTTGTATTGCCTCACAACCAAGAATAGTCTTTGACCAAACGAAACAAGATGGACGACGATGCACACGAAGGTTGATAGAAGTTCCTCGTTATTTGCTCTCCTATTGCATTTTCTTAAAATTAGTGTAACTTTCCTTCAAGATTTTTATAATAATTACCTGGAAATTTTTAAATAACACCACGAATCTTTCCTTTTGATGTGGAAAATGAAAGGATTAATTTAAGGTATCAACATTCGCATACAATCTGTCTGTTCCTATGTTTCTCAGTGTTTTTGTTTTTCTCTAGGCGATATCTGCAGGGTTTGTCGCGCTGAAGGGACACATGATAAGCCTCTGTACCACCCATGTATATGCACGGGAAGCATTAAATTTATACATCAAGAATGGTACGTATTTTGAGCTTTTTATCTAGGTTTTTTACAAGAGCACCATACTGGAGTGTGGTAGACCGGCGAAGCAGATCTCGTGATCTGCATCAATATCTCTTGTATTTAGTGCTTAACATCGTTGATTGTTTGCACAAGGCCGAAAAATTACGCTCAGAGCAATTTTTTCTCAATCAAAGGGAAATATAGAATGGATGAAAGTGAGATGTTGAATTCACTTACAGGAAGATTACAGTGTACATGTGCGTTGTATTTTAGAATTCTGTTTTGTTTTCAACGTTGTCTAGACCGAAAGATGTCAACTTACGTTAGTAGCGATAAAAAGGAAATAGAAAGTTTCGGCTTGTTATCTATGATCGGTAAAGCAGTACAGCGGTTTGCTTTGTTAGTGCAGTGCAAAATTGTACATTTCTAGTTTCCTTGTATAAATAGCTTCATCCTTAGTCTCTTTTGTATTATGACATTTTCAGAGTTAGTATTTAGTTACAGAAACTTGTCATGGTGCTTTAATTTTATAGTGTTGATAAGCTACAAGGTCAAAGTGTTTTCACAATAATAGTATTTAAATATGTGACTTTCATAGATCCAGGCATTGAAATGATACTATTATTATGGAGCCTTAACTAAACCACTACAGTTATCATTTTAGCTAGTGTAAACAAAGTATTCTATTTTAAATTCCTTCACTTTTAATCAAATAATAGTTAAATTCTCTCAATATGGTGGGAAATTAAATGGTCAGATAAACAATTTTGTCTCTTTGGTGGCATGGAGGTGAATAGTACTTGCGAGTTACCTCCAAACTTGCCAATCAGCATGACTGTGAAAAGTACCTTTTATTTGTGTGGTATATACTTTTAAATGGTTTTACTTAGTTAATACCAAACAAGTGAATAGTGCTGTTTGATGTACTGATTGGCTAGTATTCATTAGTCAATATTCACCTTAGTGTTGGTGAAAGAGGTGGATATTTACCTTGCTGCTTCCTAGCTCAATGAATATGCACCACTATTCACCTCCACTTGGGTGAATATTTGTTAATGATGTAACAAATCATGTTATTTAGGGGGAAAATCCTGAAGTGGCTGAACATTCATTCCCCAAACCTCACATGAAAATTGTAGAATTAAGTGCTGTATCATACAAACACCATTTGAATATCAGCTAAGCCCTCTTGCAAAATCATGATATCTTCCTGCTGGAGATACATGTAACATGTTATCTTTGCATACAAAAAGATTATGTTATGGTTACATAATGAATCACACCTGCAGTGGCAGTGGTTTCCTATTTCATTGGTGTTAATATTGCAAATAAAAGATTAAATGGCTGCATTGTGATACAAGGTTTCTCTTTATATTTTAGGAAATATTTCACTTGTCTGCTGGGTTCACTTGTAAAAATATTCTTCAGCACTCAAACATAAAATTTCCTTACTTCACACAGCCATGTATATGTATTATTCCCTTTGTGAATTTGCTAAAACATCTAATATTGACTTCTTCTGATTTTACTTCTTTTCATTCATTGGTTCCATTCACTTATTCGCAGTTTGGTACAGTGGCTTAAACACAGTAAAAAAGAGTGAGTATTAATGTCATTCTATTCAATAATCTGGAATACTTGTAAGTAAACTGTTAATTCATTTCATTTTACATTAAGACTATTACACAAAGTTTTGGCTAAGAGCCAACTGCTGGTGAAATTCACCACTGGAAATAGCGGCAGTCGCCAAATTGAACCATAAATAGTGGTATTCCTTATAGTGAACTTGTTTGTCTTTCCTGTATCCATTTCAGATATTGTGAATTATGCAATCACCGGTTTGCATTCAAACCAAGTGAGTGTCATTAAAATAGCTTTTGGAATATTTGCTATATAATATTGTTTCCTGGGAATTGTAATTTCTTCTTTATGAAAGAATGGTACATCCTTCCATTAATTTATTTGCTCTTTTGATTTGTCTTCTTTGATGTGTATGTTTGAACCTGTCTATTTGTGTAGCATTTCATAAATTCATCTATTTGGCAATTATCTTCTTTGTTCTTTGAAACTGTCAATATATTAAAATGTGTGTTTTAGTGAACAATTTAAAATATGTTCATTGTGGTTCTATTGCTTTTATGTTGTTTTTTTGTTTTGTTGTTATAATTAATCAATCATCATTTTATACATGTTCAAACAAAGGAAACAAAAAAGTTGAACATTATCATATTTTTTACTGACAACAATTTTTTGTTTGTTTGTTTCTGTTTTGTCATAGTTTATGCACCAGACATGCCCAACAGACTTCCTGTCAAGGATTTTGTTGGTGGTTTAGTAACAAACATTCTTAGAGCTCTAAAATATTGGCTTCATTACACACTGGTTGCCTTGGCATGGCTGGGAGTTGTACCTATTACAGCATGTAAGTCAATGCAGTTTCATTTTCTTTACTCTAAGTCTCTGTCTGAATACAAGATGTAAAAATCTTCCCTACATGAAGGCTACACATCCAAAATAAAGGATGTAACTTTGGTAGTTTAATTTTTCCCTGGTTCAAATTTACTTCCAGCTCTGTTTTGAAGTAATTGTGATATACTGCAGTACCCAAATAGACAGGACAAGAAAATTTGAACCATTGATAAAATTAATCAAAAGTTGCACAACCAACTCAATCCGTTTATGTTTCCTCCTTGTAACAAGAAAAGGGCTTTTTACTTGATATAAATGTACCCCAAATGTTTTAACCCTCAGGAAGTCCTACCTCCATGAACTTTTAAGCACAAACAAAGCCTTCATTCAGTGTATGTTGTACCTGCATGTACATAGAACTCTTCCCTATGGACTTGAAATAGGTTGTTCTTATTCCTTTGTCATGAAACTCTAGTTGGATCACTATGGTGATGATCCAGTTTTATATGGTAATTCAATTTTCAGTAGGATAATGATCCCTATTGCCAATGAAGTGAAGGGATAAAATGTCTCACCAAAAGTAATATAATCTTGTTATTCAATAGCTGTAAGCTTCCAACAACAATGTTTTAATGTTGATTCAGTCAGGTCAGGAATTGTTGGACTAAAAAAAGAAACTTCTGATGAGCAAGGCAGAAATGTTTGGCAAAAGCTAATTGTGAAAGCACTTCAATAAAGAAATTATTTCTTTTTTTCATATTTTAGATCGTATATACAGATGCTTATTTGCTGGATCTGTCAATTCTCTTCTTACTTTGCCATTAGATATGTTGTCCACGTAAGTACTTTGTGCTCTTCCCATCTCAAAAGTACAGTGCAATGTAACAACCACATGCAAGGGTTCCAACCTCACCCTTATTCTAAGTTGAGATTTGGCAACAAAAACATTATGAAATGGCTTCCAGAAAGATGGTTGTGGTTCCCAGAAATGTCATGGAAAAGCACTCTTTAAACTGCTTTACTTCCCAACATAAGCAGCCAAATTGGTGACTTTTGCTGCAGATTTAGTTTGACACCAAAACCTTTTTCTTCTTGCCATGGTGACTAAAGCTGTGGCAGCTTGGAACTCTGAGTGCATTTTTGAAAATGACAAATACAGTTGAACCCTGATAACCTGAATTGCTGAGGGAAATCAAAATAACTTTGAGTTATCAGGGTTTTGAGTTAGAGGGGTTTTGAACAAAAAGACCGAAACACTTCATTAAAGAGGTTTTTATGCATGTACATGTTTTATTGTAAGATTTCTAGCAATGTAAGAGCATGAAAACAAGAGAAGAAAACAAAAGGAAACAAAAAAAGCATGAAAACCACTAGTACTAGAAAGCAGCTGCTTTTCAGAATGTGTAGTGCTAAATCTCACTTTAACATGTCGTATATTGACAAAGGTTTATTTGTCATAATATACGAGACTAAATGTAATCTTCTGATGCAAAATGTTATGGCTTATTAGTCCGCAAAAGTGAAAATGGACTTCAAGTTATGGAGGGTAAAATTACAAAGAAAAATACCTGAAGGGAAGTAAAAATTGCTTCGAGTTAGCAGGGTTTCAAGTTATAGAGGTTAAAATTACAGTAAATATTAATTATATGAAGCAAATCCAAGGGAAATTAGTTTGCTTTGAGTTAGCAGGGAATTCAAGTTAGCAAGGGTTTGAGTTATGGGGGTTCAACTGTAAATTTTAAACCATGGAAGATGTCAAAAAGTTAGTATTGGATAATGCTGTGGGAAGAGACTACTGTCACTTAAAAATAATTTTTAGCAAGATATACATGATTAATTTTTCCCCTATTGATTAGCCACAAAGATGTTCTTACACATAATTTAGCCTTTTTTTTTCAAATCCCAAAAAATATTTAAAGCTATGACAAAATGAGGTAGTTTTAGATTTCTAATAATGCATGATACTTAGGCTGTTGATCAAATTATTGCAATTTCTGTCTCTCTGCAGAGAAAATCTATTTTCAGACTGTATACGAGGCTGTTTTGTGGTAGCCTGTACACTGTGCGCATTCATTAGCTTAGTTTGGTTACGGGAACAGATTATCACAAATGGTGGCCCTGCATGGCTGGAGCCTAATGCTGATCCTCTTCCTCAACTTAATGTTGTAAGTTTAAGCTCAGAATGCTTGAAATTGGCTCTCATTGTAGCAACTTAATCTCGCACTGTATGTCTGCCATTCTGTGAAATGGATTT